AATGCAAGGTTATTATTAAAGAATAATGCAAAAAGTGAAAAAAGAAAAAAATACCGTATTATTTTTTTAAAATTCATTCTTATAAATTATATATTATTTTAATTAACGCGTTGTAACAGTGTAAAATTTTGGCTAAAGTCTGATTACAAATCCAATGTCAATTAAATGTCCTTATTTATTATCTTGTCGATCCTGATGTCAACTTTATATCCTGAGTTAATTAATATGAAACATTGTAATCCAGATGTCAATTTTATTTCCAGTGTAATAGGCAACTTTATTGACATGATTATCTTTGCTGATCAATTTTGTCAACTTTATTTCCTTGATGATATTATTTATTATTCATACTTATATTTAGTTTAGTTTATTTTATAATTATCAAACATGTATAAATACCTTTATATTATTATCGAGAAATGATACCAATTAGGAATGATAATAGTCGGTCATAATCAATCAATGGTCAGTCAACGGTCGGTCAGAGACCTTTAACCAACTAACTGGTTATATTAATCAGTTGATAACCTATATAACAATAATATAATTTAAAGTTCTTGATCGTTAATTTTAATTTAAGCTTTAAATAATGCTAACATGATATTTGCTAAAACTCTGAATTTTTATATATTTTACTTATTTCTTTTAGGCTAACTCAATATGCATGTTAAAGATTACTTTCATATTTACAGAATTATCGTGAACATTTTTTAAAAAATAAATTAAAAATTTTTATATATAAAAAATTGTTAATTAAATGTAAAAAATTCTTGGATTACTAATTAAAAAATGTTTGATCAAACGGTCAATCAAAATCAGTTAAAATCAGCCAGTTAACCAGTCGGTCAGAAATCTTTGACCGACCGATAGTTATGGTTATAACTGATCATGACTGGTCATGACTGTAACCATTAGCATCCTTAATACTAATGAATAAATCTATTAATTAATATATACCCTAAGAAGGAGTAAAGATAATATTTCACTGGATGAAATTATTACCTTATAACCTTACAAAGTAAAGAACTTACAATTTATATATTATTAATAAAGCGTATAATTAACTAAGTTAAAACTTATTCTTCACAACCTTTAACCTGTGTATATTTATTTATTGTTTATTAACTTTACGTGATATTGTATTGATTCGTTGTATTAACTTAAGGTGTAATCACTGAAACGTAATCTCTGAAATATCTAGAAGTTACTTATGTATAATTGAGAATAATCTTTGACGTTTACTATGAATCTTCATTGTGATTTCCTGAATTTAGTCCTAGCATATTAATTTTTGTGAATTTTATTTAAATTACAAATTAGACGCAATAGCATCTAAAATATGCATGTGATATAATACATATGATGATCTCCTGCAATATTTTGTAAAATCATCCTTAAAATTGCAATGTTTCAGTAACCTTTATAATTATCATTTTACCGTTACAATTTTTTACATCATTTTTTAAATTTTGATTTTTTATTATAAATTTTTTTTCAAAATTAATTCACATTAAAATACATTATATTTATCTTTTCAAAAAGGTTTTAACAATTGTTATCTAAAATATTAGTATATATTAAAAACTCCTTTCATTTAGTCATGGTATAAGTTACTTTACTTGATATTTTAAATATAAAAACGTATAAAAAAATTAATAAAATATGATTGGTATATAAAACATAATTTTTTTAAAAGTTTGCGATAATCTGTCAATTTTCATAAATCTGCTAAATCTGCAGGTTTCTGATTAAAGCAAGAGATCATTATCGTTAATTATATATTTTAATACAGAAATTTAATTAAAACTTATGTTGAATTAAATATATTTAATGTTAACATGTACATATAATTTTGAATTATAATTTTTAATACAGTAATTTAATGTTATTTCATTAGAACATATGTAATTAAATATTTTAAAATTGATATCTCTTAAAAGCTAAAAATATAATAATTAATAAAAGATACAAAATATGTACTTATTGCTTAAATATAATAGTATAATACATGTATCACTAATTTTAAATCTATAATGAGATATTGTAATACTATGTAAGTTTTCATATGATCTTATAACCTTATATATAATTTCACCATAATATTACGTAAAAAATATGAGCTCATAACCCTACGTAGAATTTCATCATAATGTTTTGTAAATTTTATGAACTTATAAACTCGCATAGTTTTATAACGTAATACTTCAAAATATTACAAAAATCGTAAATCTACAGAATATTATATTACATTTAAATTTCAGATATTAGAAGCTAAATGTTAATAAATTGATATTAATATGAATAATTCTATTGATATTATTCACTAGTCAAAATCATTTCTTTTGACACTGTTAGCCGGTAGGCTGGAAATAAAACTTAGACGATATAATTCAGTCCGTCGAATTAATCACAATAACTTTATCACAATCATGCCTGTATGATTACATAGCAAAAGGTAATAGTAAATGAATAACAAATATCTTTATTGAACTCTTGGTTTATTCACAAAACCCTATCTCGAGTTATCTTTCAACTCAAGGAAAAATACATGCTATTTATATAAAATAAACTAATAGTAATAGAATATGATAAATATATCTAATATAATAAATAAAATAAATATAATAAATCTATCAAATATAACAAATTTAATAAAGTTAATAAAGTTAACAAATATAATAAATATGATAAATATAGATCATCGGTCAAATATGACCAATCTGTCATATTTGTCAACTAAATCAGATGATCGCCATAGTTACAGATCACGGCTTCAACACTAATACTTTTTGGTAAATATTCATCCAATTCAGTCATGTAATTCAGCAAAAATTCAGTTTAAGTTATAAAAATCAATAGTAATTTGTTACATTACACATAATTTAGCATTATTTCAGCATTAAGACCTTTCAGTTATAATATTCAGCAAAATTTTAGTTAGACTTAAGATTTGGCAACAAATTGGCTATATCTTACTGGTCTAAATCTATTGACTGATTTTTGCGAAATTATAAAAACATTCTGAGAGTAATCATCCCAAAAAGATAATAGAAATCATTTCTAAAGAAATGCACAATTATCATTAAAAAAAATAGTAATCATTTCTAAAGGAACGAATAATCATTTCCAAAAGAATGATAGAATTCATCCCTAAGGAACAATAGAAATCATTCCCAAAGGAATTATAGAAATCATCCTTAAAGGAACGAATAATTATTCCTAAAGAGACAATAGAAATCGTCTCTAAAGAAACAAACAATTATTCCTAAAGAAATAATAGAAATCATCTCTAAAAAAATGAAAATTATTTCCAAAAAGCTGATAGAATTTGTTCTCAAAAGAATGATTTCTATTGTTCCTAAAGAAATGAATAATTGTCTCAAAAAAAATAGAAATCATTTTCAAAGGAATGATAGAAATCATTCCTAAATAAACGATGATTATTTTTATCATTCTTTTAGAATGATTCATCATTATTCTAAAATAAATGATAATTTTTTTATCATTCTTTTAAAACAATACATCATCATTCTAAAAGAATGATCTTTTTTATCATTCTTTTGGAACAATTCATCATCATTCTAAAAAGAACAATTTTTTTTATCATTCTTTTAGAAAAATACATAATCATTCCTTTAGAATAATATTTTACATCATTCTATTAGAACGATCAAACTATCATTCCTTTAGAACGATTTTCTATATCATTCTTAGAAATGATCAAATTATTATTCCAAAATAATGATTTTGTTATTCTTCATAAAGAACTTTTAAACTATCGTTGATCTTGCAATCAGATGATGTAGAATCATCTATTTAGAACATTTATGATAAATAGTATAAATAATATCTAAATTTTGGATTAATTGAAATTTTAGTTTAATGTACAATATAAAACTGATAAACTTTCGAAATATTTCAAAAAAATTTATTTTTCCTTTTTTTTTTCCTAGTGAATCGATTTTTGGAAGAAATTTAACCTTTTCCTTTCTTTTTTCTTTTTTTTTTAGGAAATTCTTATTTTGGAATTAAGGTAAACGAATCAAAAGTGATTATCTTTGTATTTTCGTTTCTTTTTTCCTGTTTTTAGAAAATTCTTATTTTAGCTATTAAAGTAAGCAAATTAGAAGTAACTTTTGAATGGTTTTTAACCCTTTTTCTTTGTTTTTCTTTGATTTTTTAGGAAAATTCTCTTTTCAAAGCTAAGGTAAACCTTTTAGAGAGTATTTTTAGATGATTTTTAACCTTTTTTTCTTTATTTTTTCTTTACTTTCTTTATGAATACATTAAGGTAAGCTTTTCAGAGGTAGTATTTTGGTATTTTCTAACTGTTTTCTTTATTTTTTCTTCACTTTTTTTTTAGAAATATATTAAGATTAGCCTTTTAAAGGGAATTTTGGTGGTTTTTCTAACTGATTTCTTTATTTTTATTATCTTTAAAAATAAATGTATTTTTTTTTAATAAAATATAATACAATAGTAGGGCAAAAATGGGGTTTCTGGGACAGATTTCAAAATAGTATTCAGAAAAGATTTCTGACCACCTGCGAACCCATTTTAGCTATATGAATCAATTATCAAATTCAAACTTCTAACGCATTTTGACTCAATTCTAGATGATGTTATCGAACTTGACTAAGAATTAGCCTGTCTGATACCAAGAATTACAATGTTTAATTTAACCATTCTAGCCTGATTTTAATCCCAAATAATATTTAAAAAAATTTTACTATTCTATTTGCCTCAGGAGAGGCTATTGAAAATCAAAGTAAACTTATAAAGAAGACAAAAATTGCATATAAAATGTGATTTTAGAATCTGTATAATATCTTTCTAAGTTTTATTAAAAAAAAAAAAATTCAAATTTTTTTCATTAAAATGTATTACCTATTTTTAGAAATGATCAGCAAATTCAGATCACATGCTAGTAATTTGTTGGTTATGCTGAGAAAATCTTTTATCATAACTGGGCATTGTAATTTAAAAATACTTTCTTCATTATGGTCAAAATGTTTAAAGACTTTGTTTTTGAAGAACTCAAGGCAATACTTCCTTTTCATTACAAATTGGACAGAGATAAACTTGAAGCAATACGTGTTAATAGTATGTCTTTTACTTTTGAAGATTTCAAAGAAATTGCAACAAGACTCCCTTCTTTTTATAGACCGGAACTAACAGTGTTTACATATATAATGGTATGCTATTTTTTTTGGAATGTCAACAAACGTTTCTTTTTCGTACTATCTTTCTGAATTATGATAAAATAAATAGCACGAAGAGAGGCTGATCTTCTTTATGAAGTTACCCATTGGTGTTGAAATAACCTTATACTCGTTAGACAATACAGAAGTAGTCAGTTATGTTTTGCAAAATATCATTAGAAATTTTTCTTCACGCCAGCTCTAATGTAATATTCTTTTAAATATGTTTAAAAGTAGATGTGTTTTAACTTATTTCTACCTACTCGAACAGTTTGAGTTCCAGAAACTTGCGTTGTTCTTGCAACAATGTTTCTTTCTCATTATATAAATCGTTTGCATATTTGTACATTTTTTATAACTTTTTTATTGCAGATGAAATGCTTTATCCCCTAATGATCAAGCTGATGCATTTCCATTAATTGCTTGAAATTTTGTTGCGGAAATACATTCATCGAATGATTCTGAGGATTATTATTACAGAAAAATGTTAGATTATATGAATGCATAAGTTAAAGTAAATAACTAATGATTGTTTATTTGTTGATTTTTATTGCTACAACATTGATTAATATGGTTATTTTTATCTAGAAAGCTATTCTGCAAATCAAACTTTATCGAATTATCAAGTTGATGGAAACAATATCGTATGGAATATAAGAAGAAATCCTTGCAATTATACATCTCGAATTCTTAACGGATCCGTTTTGAACCTACAGGATATTATTAATTGAATGTAAGATAGATCAGATACTAAAGAAAGCAAAAAAGGCTTAATTTCTATATCAATTTTTCTATTACTGCGAAGTCAAAATAATGTTTTCATAGAATAAGGTAAAAATTTAAGGGAAGGGATTTAACATCTATAAGCAAAAATATCATTATCATGTAATATATAATGAAATCCAAATAAAATTAATTGCAATTTCGAAGTTGATGCAAATGAATTGTATTAAACTGTTGTAGCCCAAATGCGTTAATGTCCGAAATGATCATTTCGGATATCCCAAATCGGAATGCGCATTTGGGATATC